GGATTCTGTGGCACCGATATCGTATTTAAGAAATCCACTCCCCGCACTGGAGGAGGTCTTAAATCTATACTATGCCCCTAGCCCTAGATTTTATTTACAACTTAAAACGACGGCAATCCCTCACCGCGCCGCTTGTGCGCTGAGCTCCGAACAGTAAAACAGCAGAAAAGGTCTGTTTTTGTAGCCATGGCGAGGGCCTTCTTGGCGCAAATTCTTAACGATATCCCGTTTCCATATCACTCGCCACATCTCCTCTTCTTCCTCTTGCTCTGAAGCTCTCCCTCCCCCTTCCATTCCCTCTCCCCGCGGAGTAGTCGTTACCGGTACGGTAATACCCACTCCACTTTACCGATTCAATGCTTCAATGAGTTTATTGTTGTTCGCATGTTTTGGCATAGAATTATTATTGTTGGGTGCTGGTCTGTTTCAGGTCTGGGGTTGGTGACTCCGCTTGGTTGCGGAGTGGAAAACGACATGGAAGCGGTTGATAGAGGGCAATTGTGGGATAATGGCGATAACGCCTGAAGATCTCAAGATGGGTGCTTTTGATAGAGAGACGCAGTTGCATATATTTGATCAGATGACTTCTAAAGTTGCGGCGACTGTGCCTTGTGGAATGGGCTCCGGTGATTTCAATGAGGAATTGTATCTTAATTCAAATGTAATATCCTGATATGAGTCTTGAATTTTTCTGTTTATCGGAATATAAATGGATGTTACTTCAATGATTTTTTTATGGTAGAATTTCTCCGGTTTGGGGATATAAGAGTTTAGATAGAAATTAGAGCTTTTTGATCCTTAGGAAATTCGTCATTGAAGTTGCAAATGCAAGTGGTTTTAGAGTTGAGTTTTTAGCTGTCATGTTGCTGATGGAAATTAGGTGAAGCTTGACTTTAAACCGACTGTAAGATTACCATGGCTTTCCATGTCCTTCAGGGGTCTGAATAAGAAAGGGACATCCTTTGCATCTTTCGCAGTGATAGTACTTCTAGTTGTCTGGTGGTGAAATGCCAATATACTTAATTTAGTTTAGATACATGTGCAGTGTCCAATACCTTGCCAGATGACTTGTATTCCATGATTAGCTGTTGACTTTAATTTTTTTGAGGCTTACCAAGTATATTGAAATGATCGAGTTTATACAGGTTATTAGTTCCTTGTGTCATCAACAGCAATCTTTTTTTCTCAGGAGCATTGATCAATTGCAAGGTTTGTTGCCTATGCTCTTTGTGCAGGTGATGAAGCTTTAAAAGATGCAAGATGACTGCCCATTGAGCAGGAAGAGAAGGAAAGAACGGTAGTCATTTGTTTACTTCTATGTCATTTTTATCTTTTCTCTTTCAGAATTTAATAAATTTGCTAAAAGCAGGGGGTGTCCATTAGTGGAGGGATTGGGGCATCAGTGATATATTAGATGCAGCACAAATGATATGTGAAAAGGTTGTTTTATCTTGATACTCAATTTAATTATGATTATTGCTACTATCATATTTTTTTGTCTTCATCATCTTCGGCAGTTCCCCCTACATTAGCTATTGGCTTGAAATTATGCTACTTGGCCATGTAAACAGTTGAAGTGACAAGTGAAAGATCTGCTATTTTAATACAGTGCCTTCGTCAGCTTAGTCCATTCTTCATTCCAAGGATATTAATCAACATGGCTTCTCGTCACATGAGCATAAATATGGATTCCAGGTGTGTATGTAACCTTCAAATGTGATATTTTCAGGAGCTTATGACAACTTTAAGCCAGTCATGCAGCTAGTTTGTGCTGCTGTACTTTGCTTGCAGTAACTTGTTGAAAGGAGACTCAATTTCCTAGTGATCTCAGTCCCGTTATGTTCACTTTTATTAAATAACCCTTTTGAGCTTGGAATAGAACTTTTGTGGTTCTACAATATAAATTATGAATTTCAAATGTTAGTCATTAGACTTTGCCTGGATTTTGTTAGCTACATGAAATGTGGATTAATTATGGAAATTTCATGGAATAATGCACAAATCTGGTAACGGACTCTCAATCAAGAATAAGGAAAACCCAGAACAAGGCTGGTAGCAAGAAGCTGTTACCTCATGCTTCCTTGTTTCAATTTCTTAACTAATGCTTTTATAAGGTGGATGATATTCTTAAAAGAAAAACTTAGTTTGCTGAATCAGTCCTCGTCATGCTTGGACAAAACCAGTTCTACCATGGTTGTGATAGCTTTCGAAAAGTTGCTGTTGCACTGTGTAGTCATGTTTTTGAATATAGGGACCAAACCATGCTGCAGTGACCTCTTCTGCAACTGGTGCACATTCTATTGGTGATGCTACTAGAATGATTCAGTTTGGGGATTCAGATGTTACGGTTGCTGGGAGCACAGAGTCCAGCATTGATGCTTTATCAATTGCTGGATTTTTCAGGTAGTTGTTAACCAAAATCATATGATGTTTCTAACTAAGAAAATTTCTTTCAATACGTTATTGGTACCTTTCTTTAGATACTTGAACAGTATTTTGACCAGGAAACTCAAAAACAACCCTTGGTGATTTTTATAAAAGGGCTCTTGCCATTGTAGTGACTTGGAACTCTGGGGATTTCAGCCTAGACTTACTAATAATTTTTCTAGAATCCTTTTATTAAAGTTGCTAATTTTACCTTTTCTTGTTCTAGTTTTGAATGATGTAATATATGTTTTATTTGTTTGGTATTCTATTCAGCTGATAATGATTCTATTTTGAATTATAGGTCTAGGACTCTGACTACAAATACAATTCTTCACCACTAGAAGCTTCAAGGCCTTTTGATTGTGATCGAGATGGGTTTGTGTAATTTTATTCCTTTTTTTTTTTGTCAAAAAATAAAATAAAATCTTTGTTGCCTGCCATCTGTTTTCCTGATATGTAACTTGATATTTGAGCTCAAGATTGGTGAAGGTTTTGGTGTCCTGGTATGAGAGGTGAGTTGAGTGATGCCTATGTTCTAATTTCAGTCTCAATCTAAACTCATGACAAAAAGGCTTTTAATGGCTTGGCATTTTGCCAATTTTTTAAATCCCTCTTTTAATTTCCTTTCTAATGAAGGAACTAGAGCATGCCAAAAACTGAGGAGCAAAAATTTATGCAGAGGTTCATGGCTATGGGATGTCAGGTTGCTTTTAATACCTAAAACTTTTAAACTACTA